CTGGCCTGGAGCTCACTTTGTAGCCCAGGCTGGTCTCGAACTCACAACAATCCTCCTGCCTCAGCCTCCCGAGTGCTGGGATTACAGGAGTGCACCACCATCCCCGGCGAGACCCTATCTCAAAAAGACAAAAAAAAAACCTTGGGGCTGACGACATAGCACCTCACTAGTACAGCATTTGTCTAGCATGTGCAAAGCCTGTGTTCTGGATTCCATCCCCATCGCTACCAAAACAAACAAGCCTCCCGAGTGCTGGGATTACAGGCGTGTGCCACCACACCCGGCAGATTATTTTATTTTAATTGTGTTTGTTTATTTATTATTTGAGACCAGGTCTCATTGTGTTACCCAGGCTGGCCTTGAACTCCTAGACTAAGGAGATCCTCCTACCTTAGCTTTGTAAGTACTTGAGGCTGTGGGCATATACTACCTGTACCACCATGCCCAGCCTCCGACAGATTATGTTGTTTTTATCTTTTTTTTTTTTTTGAGGCAGTGTCTCGCTATGCAGTTCAAGCTAGCTTTGACTCACTTTGTAGCCCAGGCTGGTCTCGAACCTGCAATGATCCTCTTGCCTCAGCCTCCTGAGTGCTGGGATTACAGGTGTGCGCCATCACACCCGGCTATTGCGGATTACTTTAAAGTAAATTCAGGAGTCCTGTCTTTGCCTTGTTTGTCTAGCAATTGTTTCTTTTGCACTGGGGATTGGGCCCACAGCCTCTCCAATGCTAGGCAAGCACTCTACCAGGGAGCTACTCTGCCCCTAGCTCTTTCCCTGACCCTTTAAACTTTGAAACAGGGTCTGGCTAGGTTGCCTCACCTGGCCTTAAACTTCTGATTCCCCAGCCTCAGACTCCTGAGTAGATGGCCTTAGAGGCAGGCTCCATGTGCCTTGCTTAGGTCTGTCAATTCTTGAATACAGATCTCTGAAAGATAAGTTTTGTGCATGTGCACGTGCATGTGCATGTGCATGTGTGTGTGTGTGTGTGTGTATGTGGTGTCTGTATGTGTGTATAGTGGGGATTAGTTGTTTTGGTTTTTGCTTTTTGAGGGAGAGTGCTTGCTTTCTTTTAGAGGATGTTTGTTTTGTTTTGTTTTTGTCTTTTTGAGACAGGATCTCGCTATGTAGTTCAGGCTGGGCTTGAGCTCACTTTGTAGCCCAGGCTGGTCTCAAACTCTTAAGATCCGTCTGCCTCAGCCTCCCAAGTGCTGGGACTACAGGCATGCACCACCAAGCACTTCAGTCCAAGCTAGCTTGAACTGCATAGCGAGACACTGCCTCAAATAAAAAAAAGACAAAAACAACATAATCTGTAGGAGGCTGGGCATGGTGGTACAGGTGGTATGTGCCCGCAGCCTCGAGTACTTGCAAAGCTAAGGTAGGAGGATCTCCTTAGTCTAGGAGTTCAAGGCCAGCCTGGGTAACACAATGAGACCTGGTC